ATCCTTCCAACAGTTTGTGAGGTAGATACTGATGTCATTTTCACTTGAAAAAGATGGGGAAGCTGTGATTGAGAAAGATTGAATAATGTATCCCAAGTCACACATCTGCCAAAGAATCGACTTGATCTGGGTGTTTCTGAAACTGTAGCCAGTGTTTTTAACCTTGATGGCGAACTGCCCCTTGGGGTATGCAGGGTGCTTGCCATGGAGTCCAGCCTTGCTTTCACCGTGACAAATTCCTCACCCCTCTAGTTCCCTGATGTTTCCAGTGGCTGTCTACAGAAGCTGGCACATAAAATCCTGCTAGGAGTGCCAACCTTGTGCCATTTGGTAGCTTATCAGCTTCATTCACCCAGAATGTGTCTTCATCTGTCCTTACTTTTACCCAACCATCCTCACCTTGGAGATACTGCTTCCCTCCCAGTGGTCTCCGAGCAGACAAGCTCATCTGTTTCCCTAGGCTTAGTTCTTGGGATGACTTCAAGCTCTCGGTGTATTTAGCCATTTAAATTCAACACATTCTGTAACTGAATCTATTATGTATCCATCAAATGTTTTGAGTTTGTTTCTTGGTTGTGTTTTGGTGGCCCTTTCAGAGATGAGGCTGGCCAAGAACTCTGATGCTTGAGCCTCATTAGAATCATGTACATGTTTCTGGCTTACTTAGTTTTTAATACCATCGAAGGCTGATGTTTGGCATTTTGCAATGTATCTCAGTGCTACATATGGGCCCACTAGGATGGGCAAACCCAGAAGCACAAATTAACAAATCCACAAGCCTAGGTCTAATTTGTGACTCAGATCTCAGCAGTCCATCTCAAGTGGGTGCAGACAGAGATTTATTTAAATCTTAAATCACTTTATATATTTACTTTATAATTAAAATTTTTATTGAAGTATAGTTGATTTACATTTGAATCACTTAAGAATTCACATTGGAAAAAATATATTTTTAAAATCTGATTCATGTAGCAGCTGTAAATAGCATCTGTTCCTGCCTGGGGTTGCAGCCAGCTCAGAAATGGGCTCTGGTCTTCACACCTGATGATAATGACATGTCTCCGTTGTGGCCCCTACTGCTCAGTGAGCAGGCTGCCAGGAATTCTCTCTGGCCTGCAGGGTCGGAGACATGGAGTCTTCTGCCTCAGGCATTGGTCAGACCCCCTGACCCCGACTGGAGTCATACTACCTTCCTTCCTGAATGTAAAACTTCCTGAATGTAAAATGAAGATCACATTACTGCCAGCCTCGTGTGGTTATTTTGAAGATTAAATCCTTGCAGAAACTCTAACTGGAAGTTTGGGGACATAGTGAGTCACTGCATAACTATTAGATATGATTATTATTCTTATTTATACATAAGAAGTGGTGGGAGGTACAATATGTCGAGGGTGTGCTGCCTGTCGCTTCCCACATTAACCCTGTAAGGACTCTTTGTGGAGCTGGTGTTCAGTAAGAGAGGATCATGTTCAAATTCCTTATTTTGATAATTGTGAAAAAATGATGGTTCTCAGGGCTACCACATTTAGCAGTTTCTTTGCCTCGTGTCAATGCTTTACCAAATATGCTATACAAAGGATGCATGGGTGAACAATGTTTTAATAGGAATTTATTTTAATGTGTATTAGTTGAAGAAATGTAACTAACACATCAAATTCATGATTTCTTGGCCCTTATTGCCTAAGATGAAGCTGAAATTTTAAAAAATTTATAGATTATAATTAAGATTATGTATAGTATATAATTTTATATATAATGAGGGAGAGGAACAAATTAGGAATTTGGGAGTAACATATACATAATACTATATATAAAATAGATAAACATCAAGGACCTCCTATATAGCACAGGGAACTGTACTCAATATTTCGTAATAAACTGTATGGGAAAGAATCCGAAAAAGAGTAATTGAATCACTGCTATACACCTGAAACTAACATAACCTTGTAAATAAAAAAGAAATTAAGATTATATGCATAACATAAACATATATACATACATAAATATATATTAAAAATAGGTTTATGTGGATATGGCAAAAATTTTGTAGGGGGAACAGTATGTTTTTCATTTCATCCTCACTTAGCCTTGAGAGGCACCCACCATTATTCTCCCCATTTTACAGATGAAGGAAGAAACAGGTTTTAAAATGTTCACTTTTTTCTGAAGTGCCTCTTCACAAGTGGAGGACCTGGTATTCAAACTCACAGTCTTTCTTTTCTCTTGTTCTGTCTATGGGGGTAGTTTCTTACTTCCCTTCTCAGGTATCCTTTTTTTCCCCAAATTTTTATATTAACTTTTATTGTTTTTATCTTCCTATACAATTAATATGTATTCATTACAGAAATTTTAGAATACACAAGGGAAAAACAACTATTGAGCTAATGCACGTAATGTGAGATTATGTGCATTTTAAGTGTCAGTGATACACTATTGTTAACTATAGGCGTGATGTCATACAGCGGATCTCCTTTGACTCTTTTGTCACAGCCCTGTTAGATGACCCAAACAAGGATGTGGAGAGAAATCAGTGAACACACTGGAGTGCCACAGGAAAGTATAAGCACCTCACACTCCTGGTTCCCAGACCTCCCTCTGAACCATACGGCATCACAGCATGGACCCTGGCGAGCTGCCCCTTCCTTTGCGTGTTCCCAGGGTCCCATCAGAAGCCACTCAAGTTTAATATTGCCATAAGCCTCTCCCTGCTGGGGAGCCGGGTCTGCAAGTGGAGGCTGGGCTGTGTTCCCGTGGTGGCAGCAATCCTGGTTGGCACTTGGGCTACCCTGGCTTCTTCTGAGCAAGGAGCTCAGTGACCCTGTCTCCGCAAATGCGCACAATAGGCTTGTGGCCACAGGTTCAATTAAGCCACTTCTCAACTTAGATCAGGTGCTCCCCGATCACCAGTTTCTGACCGTCGCTTTTCAGCTGGTCACTTTGGGGTCTTTTGGGCCCACCACCTCCTTCAGTGGTGATCTGTGTGGAAGAGAGGTTGTGATGTTAATGGCACAAAAAATGCCACAAAAAACAGATGCCGCTTACATGGAGATTTACAGCTACAATTGCAGCACAGTTCAAAACCAGCCACTCACACTGGCCTGTGCTTCTTTGCAGTCACATCTTAGGTCTCTGTGAGTTTCAGAGGCTGAGCTCTTTGTTCACCCCCACGTTAGTCATATGCCTAGGGCCCCAAGCGCCCCCACTCATTATAAGGCACCACTGGGAGGCTCCTGGCCTCTTAGATTTTACCCTGGCCCCACAGCTGAGCTGAAGGCCAAAGATCCTTTCTATTTCAGCAAAAATTATGCTGGTCCCAGGTGCTTGATAAAGATCTTTCTCTTCCTCATCCTTTATACCAAATGATACTACCCAGAAATGGGTAACATGAATAAAATGAATTTCTTCTTAGAGTCTAATGGTTTAAGAGGAGGATTTGGTGAGGCACTCAGACACTCCTGGTGGATGTTGAAGGCCATTGTAGTATATGCGGTCATTCATGTTACTCCTTAGTGCTCCCTCCAAATGACGATGTTTTCTGGCTAAATTATTCTTAACAAGGGTGTCGCCTGTGGCGAGTTGTGTTAGTCATGCTGCCTGTGGGCCTAGCTTCGGCATTCATCTGACTCCAACTTTTCCCCAGCCCTCACCCCATCTATTTCTGACCAGCCTCAGGCACTGACAAAAGTGCTATCGGCAAACTTCAGAGGCCCAATAGGAGGCATTGTCCACCCTCCCAGCCTACAGCCAAACAAGGGAGAAGCTGCCTGAAGACATACAAGGACCTAATCCAACCTTTGTTGCACAAAGCAAATTGCATTTCAAGTTCTAGAAAACATGAGCCATTCATTCTAAACCTGACCAAGATTCATCCATTACTAAATTGTGATAAATGTTTGTTTTGGAAAAGTGGATTGTCAGTATTTTCAGATTCACTTATCACCCAGAAAGGCTGTGTTTTTCCTCTTTAGAAAAGTCAGAATAGGAGAAAGCCTCGGGTTGTTCTAACCTGTTTTCTGGGCAAAACTAAGTTTTCTGACATCTTTTTGAGTAGCTCTGTACAGCACCATAGGATGGAAGACTCTTAATTCGGCCACCCTGACTCGGCATCCTCCTGTTCCCCATCCCCCTCCCCTCACCTGGGTAGCATGAGGGTGCCCCCCATCTGGACTGACCCTGGTTGGGGAGCTAAAGAGCTTATTTAAAAGGGGAATGATCACAGAATTCAGGCAGAGAGATTGCCTCACCCAGGAGAGGGTGTAGAGCAGGTTTCGTTCTTGGTTTTTGTCCCAAATAAAATGGTATGTCAAATTTTAGAGAAGAACTAGAGTCATTTCTAATCCCACCACGCTTTGTATTTGCTATGTAGCTTCTTTGATCACTTAGTGTGTTTATTTGTACACAGAAACGTGTACCATCTTGTGCTGAAATGTGTGGTTTTCTCATTTAGCATATTCTGAACATCATTTCATGTAAATACGCAGAGTTCTCCTTCATGTTTAAGGAGTGCTGAGTAATTTTCTATCTGAGGACTCTCTACCCCTCCCTTCTTCCTTTGTTTTCTGCTTTCTCTTCCTCTCCACCAGCTCCTCTCCCTTCCTTCACTGGCAATTGTTACAACTATTCTCCCTCATCTTTTGCTCCAGTTCCATGTAATTGTTTCCCCTTTTTCACTCTAACATTTTATAATATACTCTCTGACATATGTAAATAATATGAAATAAAGAGAGGATTTTTGTAGTGTTGGGCTATGCTGATGCTGTAATTCGGACTGAAATAATCTGCGTTTCCATTTTTGGTGTGCGTTGGCCTTGTAATATTTTCTGTCCAGGTTCTGTGAGAACAAACATGACAGTGTTTTGAAAGGCTTTCATATCCCCAGAAGGAAGAAATGACAAAAAGGCAAGACATTATAATGCATGTTGATGATCTTTGTTTAGGAACGTGACAGTCTCAAGCCCTCTGTCACTTCTGAGACACGATGATGTATCTTACTTCCTCAGAGCCTGCGCCCGTGCACAGAGATGGGCAGAATGAAGCGGACAGCGCGCCAGAAGACGTGCTCTCTGTTGAGACTAGCAGGCTGCTCTGTCACATCACCGACGGCGACAACCCACTACTGTCACCACGATGCTCCATCTTCAGCCAAAGCCAGAGATTCAACCTAGACCCTGAATCAGCCCCTTCTCCACCCAGCACTCAGCAGTTTATGATGTAAAAAAAATCTTGTTCTTATCTTCACTTCATACAGTTTTCAAATACCCCATTTATAAACTACAGTGAAGTCTATAAATAAACTTAAAAAATAGAGCAAACATGCCTACCAAAAGCAGCTGCAGGCCCTGAACCATACATGGCAAAAAACCAGTGTACTTTCTAGTTAAGAATGCTATTTGAAGCTTTCTTATCTCAGAAGGAAATGGTCTCAAGACACAAGTTGCCATATGGCTCACATGTTTGAATGATTTTCATGAAATGACCAGAATCCTAAGAAATGTGCACATGCAGATACCAGAAATGCCATTCTTGGTGAGCTCACTATTATTTCTGTGTCCAGGAGTGGCCTCAATGGATGGATTGTAGCAATGCTTGGCAAGTTGTTCATCTCAATTCTTCTTTGATTCTAGAAAAGTGGTAGCTTACAATAGCTCCCCCACAAAGAAAAATGTGAAACTATGTGTTCTTTTTTTTTTTTTTAAGTTCCATTAGTAGTTTTGATGCATAGCTAAAATGAGTCTTCCCTTGATTAAATATATGTGCTGGAGTTCCTTAAGGTATTCTCCTTAATACCTCCTGCTGTCACTCATGAATTTATCCAGACCTTGTTCCATGGACTGTCTACTGATGAACTTGAGGGAGTTAGTAAATTATTACTGTTTTAAAGTATGTTAGGTGAGAAAATAAACATGTTTTCTAGAGAGGGAGTCTATTTCTTTTATCAGATTCACAAAGGCTCTATTATATCAAGAAAACTTAACTACTCATCTGAATCCTTTTTGAAAATATTGTTAGTCTGGGCTCAATCCCTGGTGATTCAGATGTAAATAATCCACCTGCCAATGCAGGAGATGTAAGTTTGGTCCTTGGATCAGGAAGATCCCCTGGAAAAGGAAATGGCAACCCACTCCAGTATTCTTGCTTGGGAAATCCCATGGACAGAGGAGCTTGAATGGGGTACAGTCCCTGGGGTCACAAAAGGCTGAGCAGAAGCACACATGCATGCCATTTATTGAGGATAACGCAGTCTCATTTGTCTGAAATTGGCATCCTTCAAGATTTAGGAAATGCATTTCCCAGACTAATATTCTGACCTTTGTAGACAAAATTCCTTGATAACATTTGCCTACAATGGAGTTCTCTGAATCAGGGGTCTCCAATACCCAGCAGATGCTAACATAGGAGGCTCATCAAATGATGAACTGGCCTCTGGACTTTTCTGATAATCCAGGAAGCTGGGTTTGTAGATAAGCAGCAGTGTTTACTGGAAGACCATTTTTTTTTAAATTTGTTTTTTAATTGGAAGAATGTTGCTTTACAATATTGTATTAATTTCTGCTGTTTAACAAGGTGAACCAGCCATAATTGTTTTGCTATAATTTATATCTTTTTAAAAACATTTTCTTGGAGTATAGTTGATATACAATGTTGTGTTAGTTTCAGATGTACAGTAAAGTGAATCAGTTATACATATACGTGTATCCACTCTTTTTTTAGATTCTTTTCCCATATAGGCCATTCCAGGGTATTAAGTAGTGTTCCCTATGCTGTAGTGCAGGACCATATTAGCTATCTGTTTTATATACGATAGTGTTTTTAATGACTCTCTCCCTCCCTGGACCATTGCAGGCTCCGCACTTCTTCCCGGTGCAGCTGTGGTGATGGCAAGGAGCCGCAGACCATTACCCAGCTCACCAAGCACATCCAGAGCCTCAAGCGGAAAATTAGGAAATTTGAAGAAAAATTTGAACAAGAAAAGAAGTACCGGGTAAGGAAGGCCCCTGTGATTTGAAATGAGTGGATTGTGTCAGAGGTATATGGGCTTTTCTGTCCTTCCTTTTTGAGTACACCTCTGTGCCTGGGGACAGCTCAGTTCCCCGCGGCCAACCCAGGACTCATCACAAGTGGAGTCCCTCCTGGGTCTGTCAACTGATCTCTGCTAAGATAATTCCTAGCAACAAATTGCAACTCTTATTTCCAAACTGATTTAATTATTGATTTCTCTCTCTCTCTCTTTTTTTCCCCTGAGGAACCTTACTATCACTAGTGTTCCTAGGACTCAAATTTGGAAAGATTTTGAATTATGGTCTTATTTGTTCTTTAACTTTTTCTCATTTGTATTTGGGATAAGAAAGCATATCCAGCATGGAGTCATTTGCATTTAGATAAGAACCTATTAGGACTTCCCTGGTAGCTCAAGTGGTAAAGAATCTGCCTGCAATGCAGGAGACCCTGGTTCAATTTCTGGGTCAGGAAGATCCCCTAGAGAAGGGATGGGCTACCCACTCCAGTATTTTTAGGCATACCTGGTGGCTCAGATGGCAAAGAATCCTCTTGCCATGTGGGAGACCTGGGTTCGATCTCTGGGTTGGGAAGATCCCCTGGAGAAGGGCATGGCAACCCATTCCAGTCTTCTTGCCTGGAGGATCCCATGGATAGAGGAACCTTGGTGGGTCGTGAAGAGTTGGACACGACTGAGTGACTAAGCACAGCACAATCCAAGAACCTATTAAGGGTGCAAAGGATGGAATCTCTAATTGTGGAACAGAATGAGGGAGAATTTTCTTTGACAATAAAGTACTTTCTGGTTGATGGATGAGCACCTATCAAGTGACGTCTATTCAGGCCACTCTTAAGGACAAACCCTGATCTCATCCTTTCTCTCAGAGAGACACCAGCCTTTGTGCTGGTGTGACAGTGTTGCAACTATGAACTTTTCTTAAATAAGAAGCGATAGAGTCAGAGCTAAGTGTCCTGATGTCCCAATGCTGGTTTTATTTATTGTCTGTAATGGTGATCATGGCACAGAGAAAAATCATATCTGTGTAGAACTGCACAAAGATATTGGGTTTTTGGCAAAGGGCCCAGAACAGCTTGTTATTAGAATAAAAGAGAATAGGGGATAAGGTCTCATACATCTCAAAATATTTAAAGGCTCACTAAGCAGTTGGTCCAGAGGCAATCTGCTGGTTCCTGAGGTGTGGGTAAGTTCTTGGGAGGGAGCTGTGAGTAATATTTCTTTTTCCTGTTCTTCCTGTCCTGTGCTTCCCACAGTGGCTGCAAATTCACTAAAAGAGGGGTTGTAAGGAGTAATTTTTAGCTTTGCAAAATGGATGGAAAAGAAAAATCAGATTAGCTTTCAAGACAACTTCAGTCAGGGTGCTAAAGACTCTTTTCTTCCTTGAGGTCAGGCGGCCACAGCTGCTTATGGTCTTTCATGTAGTAAGAGGGTGCTGTGCACATTGTAAGTACAGGCTTTATTTCACAGATAAGGAACAGGAGGCCCAGAAAGGACTTCCAGCCTTCCTAAGGGAGTTGTGTCCTAGCATCTCAGGTTTGGGGTGGTTAAAGATGAGTTGGTTTTACAATGGAGGGGTGGAGTAAAATTCTTAAAGTGGCCGCATTTTGAAAACTCCATATAGCCCGAGAGGAGCTGATTTTCCTTGTCTCCTGCTGGAGTGTTGCTGGGTCTGCAATGCCCTCGTACTGGAAACTGTAGAGAAACAGGTAGGGCCTCCGTCCCCAGGGGCCTGTTAATAGTTCTTACTTGGTGGTTCTTGAATCAGACTGACCTGGGTTTGAATCCAAGCACAGCCACTTATGGACTCTGCGACTTGGGTCTTGTTACTTTATGTTTCTGAGTCACATTCTATCCATCTGAACAGTGGAGTTAATATTAATAGTGACTTCTTAGGTTTGTATTAAATGAGGGAGTCCATATGTATTGCTTCTTACAGTTTTAGCACCAGGGAAGTAAGTGGTCCTAGATATTACTAACCTTTTCATCTGTTTGAGTGATACTTGAACATGCTATCCCATGGCAACCTCTGCCTTGTTGAAGTAAAAAGGAAAATTATAGACATTAATTTTCCAGTAGATTTTTCGGCCTGCAGATATAGACTCTAGATTGTGGAGAGTCTGTATATATAACAGGTCACCTGGCAGTTGGCTATTTTAGAAAATAATTCCTCCTGGCACCTCCTGCCTTTATCTGGAGAAACTTTAGGGCCAAAGCAGACACTTGCCCACACATTTAAACATGCAGATGGATGGATTTGGGAGCAGTAAAAGACTTCATGGTCACGACTTCTCTCTGTGTGTGAAAGTCTTTGATGTAATCAGAACCTTCAGTGTCTCAGGAAACAGAGCTTCCCCTCACCCTTCCTGTCTGGATGCCAGGCTGTGGTTAGAGGTTTGACATGTCACTGGACTTGAATTGGTTGCTCTGTGTATGGCTTTCCTTCCTGGAAGCCTGACTGTGGAATTAACAGCACCTGCTGCTAATTTTTGAATCCAAGTTCCTGCTGGCCCTCCATGCTAGTCTGATGCCCTGATACAATATACATCCTTCCTGCTCTGTTGAATATAACTATTTCAGTTCCTGTCCAGAGCTGTGTTTATTTCCTACACGTTTACATTTTACATTTAACTATTGTTAAGACTCATGCGCCTAGAAAAAACCTGTTTCAGCCAGATGTCTACTTTCAGTAGAATTATAGAGTGTTAGAATTAGAAAGGATTAGTTAGTCTTCTCTTGTTTGACCACTGAAGAAACTGAGGCTCAGAGAAGGGAAGTGACTTCTCTAGGTTCACACAGCAAAGAATTAATCACAGCTAAGACAGTAACATGGGTCCTTTCATTCCTGATCTGTAAATCTTTGTAAGATGTCTTTTGAATTGTCTTTGCATGTGTGTGTGCTAAGTTGCTTCAGTCCTGTTCGACTGTTTGATGCCCTGAACTGTAGCCTGCTAGGCTCCTCTGTCCATGGAATTCTCCAGGCAAGAATATTGGAGTGAGTTACCTTGGCCTTCTCCAAAGGATCTTCCCGACCCAGGGATTGAACCCACACCTCTTACATCTCCTGTGTAAATAGGCGGGTTCTTTACCACTGGCATGTTTGGCAAATCACAAGTCTGGTCCAGCAGCACCCTCAGTTATGTGACTCAGGAGCCTCATTTAAATCACACTGAACAATATCTACACTAAGTTTGTGGTATATGGCCCTTGGGGCCTATTAAACTGAAATATTTCAGCCCAGAAGTTAGAAGGCTTGAAGATCCACAGCTTGTGTTTGAAAACTTTCCATGTGATATGAGAGCTGCCATCCTTCTCAGCTTGATTTAACCTTTTTTGAAAGCTCTCCCAGGAGTAGGGAAGTACAAAATTCATTTTAGAAAATGATTTCAGGCTTTCAAATATTTTGCCAAAAAATTCAGCCTTAAATTTCTACTAAGTCCTGTTTGCAGTAGTGTAAGTTTACTTCTTGGTCGTTGGTCCTTGGCTTAGGGTCTTAGATTTTTGTTTTTAACAGTATTTCAAAAAGAGTACATAAACTGTGTGGAGCATATCCAGTGAAAAAGGTATGTTCCAGAGAACAGGATGTTTTTAGATCAATGTGGAGAGTTCTGTGAGGATTTTGAGAAACCAAGTATAAAATATTGACTGTTCACATAGCCAGACTGTTACCCACAGTGAGAGTACTTAACATTGTATCAGGGAAGTAGTCCAGTGGGTCATTCTAGCAGACGGTGAGCAGGACCAGGAGCAGCCTTTGGAGGGGTGTCCCCGTGTCGCTGTCCATGGTCCTGAAACCAGGGCTTCCCTCCTGGAAACCAGAGTCTCCCTTCTTGGCTCCTGTAGGGAAAAAAAATCACTGGGCTTCCATGAAGGTGAAGGGGAGGGGAATCTTCCCTCAGTGTTATTTTGCATCTTGATTTTTAAACTGTATGGATTTTACATCTCAATAGAAGTGACAGAACCATGTTTTGTGTTTCACAATTAAAACATCCAATCCCATGTACATTAGATGATCCTCTTACACGATCACTGTTTCTTTCTTCAAGCTTGAGAGGAACACAGTCTTCTCCCCATGTCTCTGTGTCTCACCAACAACTTGCTGATGTTACATGGATTTAATAGATTCTTAATCACAGCAGAGCCACCAGTCTTGTCACTAACATTGCACACATTTCTGGCTACTATTGCAGTGTTTATGATGTCTTCTTGAGCATGCCTATATAGCTCTTTGTATTATTATATTCCCAATTCAAAGCAATGACTAATTTCTTGAGCCTGTGTTTAAGTTACCAGAGTGGGCATGTTTGCTCTTCTCCTCTCCTAGTTTCTCTTTTCTGTAGAAAATTCACTTTTATACTCTGAAAAGAAATCCAGAAATCAAGGTGAATGATTTGTATGAACAGAGTCATAGTCTTCTAAAATTAAAGCTATATTCTTATTGCCACATCCAGGTGTGATTATTTACTAGTGAGGACATACTATCCTGTGTGTGTGTGTTGATAAGACTTATGGTTCCTTTGAAGATCTGGTAGTAACACCACACTACTGTTACTGTCACCTCTGCCAGTAATGATAGCAGTAATAGTATTTTAAATTCTAGCTAACACATCTATAGTGTTTAGCATGTGCCTAGAACTTTTCTTCATGCATATTCATGATGTTTCATGTTTCAGACTCATCATGTTTCATGCATATTCACTGATTTATCCCTCATAGAAACCTTATGAGAAAGATGCTATTAAATCCTCATTTGCTAGATCAAATTGGGGCATGGGGAGGCTAAATAATTTGCCCAAGTCCACACGCATATGGTTGATCTTTAATGCTACTCCAGCAGAATAGTGAGTCTGTAAATAGTGAGGAGTTGAAATCTGTGGATGAGGATTCTTCCATACATACTGACTTCTCAGACTTATAAGGTTTTAGAGATCCTGGGGTCTCCTTTCTTCAGCTTGGAGCTTGTGACTGATAGAAGCTAAAGCTTCCAGTTTGTAGTATTCCCTAGACAGGGTGTGGTCATAAACCATGAACAGAGGCAAGGGAGGAAGTGCTGTTTTGTGTCAGTATAGCCCTCACACTGATACAAAGAATGACCTGGCCACGGGGTGTCAGGTGTGGGTAGCCCACAAGGTGATTGAGAGGTAGACTTCATGGGGCACTGGCATGGTGAGGACTCTGTAAAAATGCCAGGTGGCCAGGCATGCTTAGAAACAAGGTCCATGGCAAGGATGAGAGTGGAGGAAGTCAGGAATGTCTGCTCTGTTTCTCAGACGCAACTTCATCTGCTGGAGATAGCTTGCCTGAAGCTCCCTCCCAGCTTTATATATGTTCCTGAACTATCTTTGTGTGCCTCCGCTGCTTAACATTTTTTTTCCTTTTTCTCTCTTTTTTTCTTTCCCTCCCTCCCTTTCCCTCCTTCCACCCCCATTTTCCCCTCCCTTGCAGCCTTCCCATGGTGACAAGACATCTAATCCTGAAGTCCTGAAATGGATGAATGATTTGGCTAAAGGTCGTAAACAGCTCAAAGGTAAATGCCGGCTAAGGGAGTCTCCTTTTTAAGGAAGGAAGAAGTTAAAATTATGATAATGTGCTACAAGCAGTTTTGGATTCTCTTCTACCTGGGCCCTCTTTAACCTTGTCTCCTGCCGAGTTTGGAGGCCCTGTCTTAAAATAGAGTCCTGGGTTTCCTTCATTGTTTGATCCCATTGAATACATCAGCATATAAAGGGACTGAGGAAATCCAGCCTCCCAAGTGGAATGATTCACTTCAGTGCCAGGAACATTTCAATATGTGGAGTGTTCACCTCCTTGGGTTATTGGGTTCTTGGATGTTAGAAACAGAAGAGGCCTGAGCAGTCATTGATTCCACATACCCCAACTTCACAGAGGAGGATATTTATGTCCAGAGAGAGGGGACGGTGACATGGCTGGAAGGTGGTGAGTTCAGAGTAAAACTCGGTTCTCTTGCCTCCTAATCCTTTCTCTGTCTCTCTGGAGATGGTGGTCTGAGTATTAATTAACTCTCAAATCCATTTTAAGGGACCATAGTTATTTACCAATAAAAATTTATTTTCTTCCTCTTCCTACATTTTTATTTCAATACCTAGAGGCATAGGAGCTTTTCCAGATTTCTAAAAGGATGGTGATAAAGAACTGGAAGGGAATACTAAATTAATTCAGTGGTATTAAACTGTAGTGATGTAGCAGGTTTATAAAGTATGCAGTGTTTAAACACCACACCAGAGCCTAACTAAAAAACAAACATCAGACAAAGAAAGTGTGCTATGTAATTGAGAAATCAATATAAATGGCCTCCTTCAAAAGACCAGCCCCCTAGCATATTCTGAAATAGAATTTCCTAAAAAGTCCTAGGTGGCTCTTTTGTTTTTATTTATGTAGGTTTATATAAAGCCAAATTGCAATAATGGCGATTTTTGGATTTTAAATATTGGCATTAGACAAAATTGTGATCTTTCAGGTTGGGGCTGGGACTCTATCTCCCATTCCCTACCCTTCCTGTATATCCTCAGATGACTGCCTTGTGTCATGTCTTCCCGTAGACCTTGCATTTCCACAGGGGGCTCTTCATGACTGCACAACTTTCAAAACCTGAGGAAAGGAATCTTTGAGCGTAGTATTTTAGGTGCTGTGGCAGATAACAGGTGAAAACTTTGGGGCCAAGTACCTCTGGTCTTCTTCCTCTGAAATTTAAACTATCCGTGATCCTTCTACTTCTATGAGATCCTTACCTCAAGAGCCCTCTATTTTCACATCTGATGGGGAGTGTGTGCTCCTGGCCTTGGTTATTCAGGCTGCCCTTGCCCTGTGGAAAGCCATGATCAGCACTGTTCATTTCCACTCGGCATCAGGGGAGAAATTCCTGAAAGGCTCTTTGCTCTTACTAGACCAATGAGTCTGCGTACTCGTGGTAACTCACCACATTTCTCTTAGAACTAAAGCTGAAGCTGTCGGAAGAGCAAGGGAGTGCTCCCAAAGGCCCACCTAGAACCCCGCCCTGTGAGCAGCCCACAGTCCCCAGAGAGAATGGGAAGCCGGAGGCCGTGGGCCCTGAGCCGAGCTCCTCTGGAGAGGAGACTCCAGATGCTGTGCTGAGCTGCCTGAAGGAGAAGAGAGAGCAGCTTCCTTCCCAGGAAGATCCTAAGGTACCTCACCAGCCTTCACAGGGCCCCAGCCCTCCAGATGGCGCCAGTAAGACTGTGGTTTTGACCAGTGTGTGTCACATAAACAACTTTGTGAGACTGGCTCTGAAGATTTCAGTCAGATGAGTTCCTAGTGGGTTATTAGCTATGACCTAGGGTATTGCCACATGGTTCTGGGTATTGCCATTCTGAAGGTTACAGTGTTGCATGTTAATGAGAGACAAATGGTAAAGACGCTAGAGTATATCATATCTCGTTCTCCCTTACTTACCCCTGATAAATTAGCAAAGGAACCCAAGACTAGGATTATAGACTCATTTTACTGTGTGTGTGTGTGTGTGTGTGCATGCACCCCCGTGGACTATAGCCCACCAGGCTCCTCTGTCCATGGGATTTTCCTGGCAAGAATACTGGAGTGGGTAGCCATTTCTTCCTCCAGGGGATCTTCCCAACCTGGGGATTGAACTCAAGTCTCCTGCGTCTCTTTCATTGGCAAGTGAATTCTTTACCACTGAGCCACCTAGGAAGCCCAAGGTCTTTATAGATGTAGTTAAGTTAGGGTTACTTGAATGAGGCATACTCTGTTATGAATGTTGTACTTATAAATTTAGACACAGAGAGTAAATGCCTTGTGAATATGGTTTAATATTTCATATCATAAGAATAGAGAGGTAGGGCTTCTTGAGGAGTGCTATGTAACATATTTAAAGACTTCAGCTTAGACATCTTAGTTTTGAAATCTTGGTGAGATACCTAGATACAGTTGTCAGTTACACACTTGGATATATGAGCTCAAAGAAAAGATGTATTATATTTTACCAAAAAAGATGATGAAACCAATTCGTATTTACCTGGTTAGTCCCTCCTCTCCTGCATATCTATGCTCACATTTTACTAATGCCAAGGAACCTTGCTAGTAGTCTTTTCTGTCTGAATTCTGAGTAGCAGGGTTGTCTTTCATTTCTTGAATAATCTATAGCTACCATAACTTAGGACTTCCTGGTGGCTCAGTGGTAAGAAATCTGCCTGCCCATACAGGAGACATGGGTTCAATCCCTGGTCAGGAAGATCCCCTGAAGCAGGAAATGGCAACCCCCTCCAATATTCTTGCCTGGGAAATCCCATGGACAGAGGCTACAGTCCATGGGGTCACAAAAGAGTCAGACACGACTTAGCAACTAAATAATACCCTAACATAGCTTGTAACTATTCTGTATGCCACTTTCTGTCTCTCACAGTACTCGACAACTTCTTGAGTAAGGAAGTTTATTACTTACGATACTTAGTGTCTGTGCATAGTAGGTATTGAATAAGTGTTTATAGAGTGAATGGATTTATGAATGAACAGACTAGCATGTTAGACTTTGAAATGAAGTCCTCTTGAGGAGAATGCTGGCTTTGTTCTGTTGTATTTACATTATCTAGTCTAGATCTTAAGATGGCAACATATGCCAAATCCCAAAAGGCTTACTGTTTCCCCTTGGACTAGCCCTTTACATTGGTGCATATGACATACAAGTAGAAATGGGCCCTTGGATACCTCTGTCATTAAAAAGTAGCGTTCAAGTCAAAAATAACCAGTGTGTCTAATGAGTGATTTTCACTCAGCCAACGTATCCCCTCCTCCCACCCACAAAGTTTCTAGACTTTGTCATGGTCCTTGGGTAAGCAGATAACTGTGTGTGTGTGTAGACACATGACATGCTCACATATCCAGGCACCTTTGCGGTTTTCTTGTCATTAAAAAGTAGCGTTCAAGTCAAAAATAACCAGTGTGTCTAATGAGTGATTTTCACTCAGCCAACGTATCCCCTCCTCCCACCCACAAAGGTTCTAGACTTTGTCATGGTCCTTGGGTAAGCAGATAACTGTGTGTGTGTGTAGACACATGACATGCTCACATATCCAGGCACCTTTGCGGTTTTCCATTCTTTAGTGCTTCTGATGGTCTTTCCTATTTTTATAGCTACTTTGACCACATCTATAAAAGCAATGTATAACACTTAGAGCAGGACTCAGTCCTTGAATAAGCCACTTTCTAGTTATGTACTCTTGACAAGTGAACTAATTCTCTGATATTCAACTTCTATCATCGATAAAAATACAGATAATACCTATTAATATAGTTGTTTTGACAATAAAGGGCGATGCCTGGTAACTGGTGGGCAGTCATTCATTTGCAAAAAGATCTGAGTACCTACCAGTGTTATGAACTGCAATATGTGCTGGATAAAAAGATTAACAAGATAGCAAAGTGATGTGGGTTACTGTCTTCTTGGCACTCATGTTTTTCTGGGAGTTGGGATATAAGAAATAATTCAACAGATAAAAACCACTAAAGATTTTGATAAGTACTGTGCAAAGAAACAGATGATATGATAGAAAATAATAAGAATGGTTTCTGTATTATATATTGCAGTGAGGAAGTCCTGTGACATTTAATGCAAAAGAATCAGCAGGCCAAGAGAGCAGCAAAGGGCATTCTAGATAGATGGAATTGCAAGTATAGTGGCCTTTGAAGGAAGAGCTCATCTGTGGTTGGAATTCTCAGGTCTGAGTGCTAGTGCACAGGGCTGCATGAGATGAAGTCAGAAAAAACAGGTCAGGGCCTATAACACAGGAGTTCCCAGGCCACTGAAAGTATCAGGCAGCTGTTGAATGGTTCCAAGTGTGAAAGTGGCATTTTACACTATGCAGAATAAATCATAGTGAAAAAGAGCAGAAACGGGAAGATGAAATGGGTGGTTTGGACTAGGATGTTCACTGTGGAGATGGAAAGAAGCAGACACATTCAAAGCCTATTTAGGTTCTAGAATCAAAAGGATGTGCTGACTCACTGGGTGGTAGGGAGTAAAGGAAAGGAGGTGGGTCCATTTACTGATGGGGAGAAGCTAGAGGGGAGTACACTGAGGGTGGGAGGGAACGCTTAGGAGGTCTGTTTAGGACACGCTCATTTTAAGATCTTTCAGGACTAGGGTGACCTACCATCCCAGGTTTCCCTAGACTTTCCTAACTTTAGCACCGAAAGTTCCATGGCTCATCAAAAGCCTCAGTCCTGGGAAAACTGGGATGATCCCTCACTCTGCTGAGGCATTTAAGTCAAATAAAAGCATGTAATTGAAAGTATGAAGGTCAGAAAAACTCTGAGTTCTCTAGTCATCTCTGAAGTCATTTTTGTTTAAATGGCAGTTTATTTCTCTTGTTTTATTTTACTTATTTTAATTGGAAGATAATTACTTTACAATATTGTGAAGGTTTTTTGCCCTTACATTGACATGAATCAGCCATCCGTTGAACTGTTTAGTGTCAGAAAGTGAAAAGTGAAAGTTGTTTAGTTGTGTTCGACTCTTTGTGACCCCATGGACTATAGCCTGTCAGACTCCTCTGTCCATGGAATTCTCTAGGCAAGAATATTGGAGTGGGTAGCCATCTTTTTCTCCAGGGGATCTTCCCAACCCAGGGATTGAACCCGGGTCTCCTGTGTTGCAGGCGGATTCTTTACCAGCTGAGCCACCAGGGAAACTCCTAGTGTCAGAAGTCCCTTCACAGAAGCCTTGTATCTCTGCAGTAGGCTAAAGTTAGTTTCTTTAAAAAGAGATCACCTGCTGTGGAATGTGTGAGTCTCAGGACCTAGAGCTGCAGGATTGTTCCGGGAGAACTTCACACAGCCAACCTGTCGTGGCCGGGCAGCTATAGGTGGTTCTTAAGGGGGCAGTCTAGAAGCCACACAAGCCGCAAAGGGAGGCCTGAAAATTTCTCAAACAGCACTGTTCTTGGCTCCTTGGGGAACTGATTAGCATTTGAGGTGATCTCATTAGATCCCATTTCTTTAAACTCAAAATGACAGATGATTTTCATCTGGGGTCTTTGCTTTACTGCTTAAAATGCATTAAATATTAAAGCTTTCGAGATGAGTTCTTTCTTTTCTAGAGATGCCTTTATTACGACTCTTCCTGAAATTTTTGCCATGGTGTTTAGTCAGAGCTGGTCCTAAAACTGATAAATGCAGGAGACCCTACAGCATGGCCTTGTCAGTTCAGATCCTGCCACTGAGTGATTTTCTCCCTCCATCATCTGTGGGTGATTATTGGAGACAGTCACTTCCAGGTCGCAGGGTGTGCATTGAGCCCTGGAAGTGAGCGAATCATCCCTCAGTTCTGATTATTGTGCCTGTCTATGTCTTCCTCTGAAATGCTGAATTGGAACTGACACCTCTCCCCTTTTTATTGTCCCTTCCAGGACCTGTAGGTAGGGTCAGGTTACCAAGTGGATGAGTAATGACCATTACTTCTTCTGCCCCTTCATCAACTGCAGCATCTTTGAAGAGAAAAGCAGATTTTTAAAAAACATAATAATTATAAAGATGAAATAAATCTAATCATGGATTAGTGAGTTGTGCATTGGAGGGAGGGAAGACATACAGGAAAAAGTCACCAAAAGGAATATCCCATCAAGTTCTTCTGTCTACTTATCCTTTCAATGAAAATTTAATTTTCTGAATAGGTAATACTTTCTCACATAGTTCAAAAAACAGAAAAAGCTACACATTAAAAAGACTCCTCCCCATCTGCCAGCTCCAGTTCTGAGGTCTCCCACCCCTGAGCAGGTAGAGCTGTTGTTAGTAATGTTTTTTGTGTCCTTTTGGAGTTTCTATATAAGGCATATGCAAGAAAGGATCAATATACATTCTTAACTTGCCCCTTAAAAAAAGGTAGCATTCTACATAATTATGTATCCTTTTTTCATTTTGCATATTCATGTTGACATAGTTTCTCATTATTTATTAAACTTAAGCTCTAATAGCACCATGGTATTCCTCTGTTAGTAATTTACAACCTTGATGGTAACCTCAAATCAACTAGTTTGATGACTTAAATAACATTTAGTATGCCTGACTCTGTGCCAGGGACATTTACATAAGATAATTAAAAATAATCCTCATTTTGCATATTAAGAATCTAAGGTTCAGAGAGTCCATAATTTTCCAAATTAAATATAGTGTGTAACTTTTTGAAGCCAGTTATTTGAATTTACAGCCTCTCTTTTCAAGGCCGGTATTGATCTGCCTGTGCTTGGAAATCTGAACTGACCTGGCCATCCTCTCCAGCAGCTCTTTTGCATGGTGATGTTCACTAGTGACCTCCTGCATTGTTGGACTGACTGGTTAGTTGAAACAGTCAGATTTGTTCCACACAGACTGTCTCCCTCAGTGAGGGACTAGGGAGACAGACTCAGGGAAAGTTTGGCAGGACTTGAGTCCTTAAGGCTAAAGAATAATGGATTCCCATCACTCTCTGTCCAGAGAGGGGAATGTCAGTTCTACCTCCCTCTCCAAGAGAGAGCTTGTTTATGGTGACGGTTTGAGTGATTTCTATGTTTTTGTGGTTTCCTGTGAAAGAACACAGGGGACCAGTGCCGTGGGGAGAAGGGAAACAAGTGTGGTGGTAGAAGCACTCAGGCTGTGGCAGTTTTTTCTTGAGCGACTGTCTGACCAGGGCCCAGAAGGAACAAACACTGGGGCTGACCACTCAATAGCAGTTCTGCTTGGAAAACCAGCTTGCTCGGGGCAGCCATGCCAGACCTTGGGGATTGGAGTGACCTCCTGGGTGGGGTGGGGTGGGGTGGGGCAGTTTTTATGATGGAGATGTCAAGCTATCAACAAAGCATGTCAAATTTCCTTCTGTGCATGGCCCCCTCTTGCTCATCCTTCTTGAAGTCTCCTTTCTTCTGATGCCATAAAATGGAGGAGCAGAACTGATTCAAATGAATTCTTTTTAATGGCTGAGTAATATTCCATACTGTATATGTACCATCGCTTCCTTATCCATTCATCTGCTGATGGGCATCTAGGTTGCTTCCATGTCCTGGCTATTATAAACAGTGCTGTGATGAACATTGGGGTGCACGTGTCTCTTTCAGATCTGGTTTCCTTGGTGTGTATGCCCAGGAATGGGGTTGCTGGGTCATATGGCAATGTATGGCAAAAACCACTACAATATTGTAAGGTAATTAGCCTCCAACTAATAAAAATAAATGAAAAAAAAAAGTGGAGGAGCAGGAAGGAAGGGTCATTTAGCTTCAGGGTTTATCTCCTTAAATTTATCTTTAAAATCGGACTACCATTCACACTCTGAATCTCTCTCTGGCTCTTGTAGGTTATTCAACATGATCCTTGTTTTCTCTATTTAAATAAAAAACATGTTAGATACTACTAACATATCATACCCAGCCTATGCAGAGTTGGGGAGCGGGATGCATTTCAGAAATAGCCATTGGAGTCAGAGGAGAAAATGGTCTGAATCTTAGTAGAAAGTGCCCGAGGAATAAGGAATAGCTGAGTCAAGTATATCTCAGCCCCTTGATTGGAGTTACCTGTCCTGCAAAGCCTACCTCTGGACTCATTTTCCACCATGAAGATCCACTTTGCAGGCCTCATAATAGCTAGTTTCCACAGGCCCCTGAGTAGAAGACAGCTCCTGGCATATATCTCGCCACTAACCCTTATTCTTCAGGCAGCCCGCTGTCCTGTCAAATGTATTTGAGGATAAGCACTGATGGTATTAAAGTTTTGACAGTGTCCTATACTTATGGCCATTGAACCCTCACATCTGTCTTTGGGGATTACTTTAATAGTGATCCTAAGAGTAAATCATAGAATCATCAGAGTGAAGGATGAATTCCATACATTATATACATGCCCTGACTTTTATCTAGCATCTGTGGAAGGAACCTTTCTGTAATGGCATTCATCATTCTCACTTGCTTTTTGGTCATTCTTTTCTTTTTCTCTTTTAAGACTAAATTTAGCTTTTCTAGAATCCAGATAATATAAAATATTTTTATTGTAAAAATAAGCAAAATCAACAAAATCAAACTGCAATAGAGAGATGCCAATAATAGTTAAATGCATCCTTTTCAAAGTGCTTTCTATGGAATGTAAGTCCCAATAAGATACTGAATAAAAAAACATTTTACTGTTTTCCGAACCTAGAAATTTTTTTCTTTGTCACCTGTTAAAATCCCATTTAATATGTGAATTTTTCATGTGTAAAAATGTATCATGACTAAAAAAACCTTTAAGGAATGATTGGGCTAGAAAATGAAAGGTTCTTGGGGTTACTTAACCAATAAATGAACTGCTCTACATAGAGAGGTGGTCTTTCTACTGAAAATAAAAGAGCCTTGGGTCAGATAGCCTGTGGAATTTATATGAAGATTGCTAAAAATCAGACTGCTTTTACTATATATAAAACCCTGGGTTATTAGATGGGTGGTAGGAAAGCATATACATGTGTACCATGAGAATTTGAAGAAATACATTATATAATTTATTTGGGCAGACAAGGCTACAACACAGACAACAGGTGAGGCCCAGACAGTGCGATACAGGTGTTTCACTTCCTTTTCTCTGTGAAAATCGGCAGAGGCCAGAATGGTTCTCAGCTGGGATGGAGGTGGGGTAGCATGAGAATAACTAGAAGGCTGAAAACAGACACATTTGAGCCATTTTCTCTTCCTCCGGGGTTCTCATCGGGAATCTGGAGGGCAGAGTCAGGACCCTGGGGTGCGTGTGCCATGTGCTATTTCTACTGTTTCCTTCCCACCACCTGCCAAGTGAGATCCACTGGGCCAGAGGAAAACAGAGTCTGTGTGTAGTGAATATATAGAACCTTCATGCAGGACACACATCAGGAAGGAAAACCAAAGCAAGCAGAGGAGTTTGGTCATTTTGGATGGAGAGATAGGTCGGTGGGTGGGTAGTTAGGCAGATGATTAATAGGTAAGTAGGAAACTATTTAAAATTGTGTGTGCCTTGTGGCATGTTAAAAATAGTGTTTAGGGATGAGTGAAAGAGCAGAAGGGTAATAGAATGGATTGGTGGACCAAGATGTTATACACTTTTTTTGGTTGGAAGGAACTTTTTGAACTCCCAACATCCTTGTTGTATAGGTAGGAAATTGAGAATCCAGGGAGGTTTACTGTTTTATTCAATATATTTAGTTTATGTCAGATTTAGCCAGTAAACTAGCATATAATCCAAGTATGTAGTGACAAAGACCTGGAAAGTGTTGGTATCTGTGGATAGAATCTTCCAAGTCCAGATAAAATACATGTTTCAGAAGAAAAATTGATAGGCTGCAGTCACCCACTAGTTTCTTTAAGAATGAAGAAATAAAGAATTATTAATTCTTTAATTAAATAATTAAAGGTGCCTTACCATTTAAACACTGAGGATTCCTCTAGTAAGCTCTAAAAACATCTTTCTCAACTTGGACCTCTCCTTTAAGAAACTTTTCCTAGAAGAAAATTGGCATGTGCTTCATACAGTATCTTATCAATGACCTACCTTTTGAAGATTACTATTGCATTTTAGTACTGTAATCCCTTCAAAACTTTTAGGCTTCAAAACTTTTATTTTTTGCCTGTTAAAAACATTGATGTGTTTTCATTCTTGTTTGAGAAAGGAACAATAATTAATTTCATGTTTTCTAGGTAACGAAGCAAGACAAGAACCTCATAAAGCCTCTTTATGACCGATATAGAATTATCAAGCAAATCTTGTCCACACCTTCCCTTATTCCAACAATTGTAAGTCAGGAAGCTTGCCTTCACTACTAAACTGTCCTTGTGCTAACCTGATACTTAGTTAGGGAGGCGGCACCAGGAGAGTGGTAAGCAAGCCTTCTTGGCAGGATATCCTGCCCACACGGCCAGTTGTGTCACAGCGTCGAAACGAGGTCTCCCTCAGCTCCCACACTGTACTTAACAGTGGCTGGTAATTAAAACTACTGTGAAACAGGACTATATAGTGATTCTATTTTTGAAGCCAGTTTTAGCATTTGCTTTCATTGTTTGGGTGAGGAGAACAAATGATGGATTTTAGTCTGGCATTACCTAATTTACAAAGAGCACAGCTAGACAAAACAGAACCCGTTTTAGTCTGGTGTTGTTAATTTTTCTCCTTTAATAAGAAAATTGATTTGTGTGTTCTTTGATAATAATGCAGCATTTGTTTTTGTTACCATTTGACCATCACTGTGTAAGATAGAAGCAGATTTATTTCAATAGAAAATATGAATACTGAAATTGGGTTAGACTACTTTTAATTAAGAATGATTTATGGGAATACAGAACTAGAAAAGCACCACAAATCCTACACCACCAATATTAGAACAGTCACTTGCTCAAGATGTCAATATTAAAAGAAAATAAATATTAACAGATACAAATTTAAGTATACTTCCGTACATTTATACTTCCACAACTCTATAAACACAGAGACACAGTGACTCATATTTTGAGATTTTCCTATTAAGGAAGCATAATTTAAAACAGGGAATGGTTTTCAGATTTCCTTGCAAGAAAATCATCTGGTTGTGACAAGCATTATCAGAATAGGTTACAGAGAATCTCCATTTTGTTTTTGGCCTTCATGAAGCTGTTCCCTGAATTTGTCCATTTTCTGAGTATTCTCTGTATCTGAGCCCAGACCAGGATCTAATTTGGGTGACAGCAGGACACAGAGGTCTGTGGTCTATCTCTCCTCACCCATGTTAACTCTTACGAAGCTGGGGCCCATGAGTTTGGGGGAAGGGAAGATTGCTAGGCAGTGCAGCCCAGATTGGAACATCTCCCAGTTGTCTGTGCCTTCTTTGGCCGGCAGAGGAAGCTGAGCTTGGTAAGCACTTTAGCCCAGCATGGGTGCTTTATTTGCTTATTAACTTATGTTAAGTTTCTTTTGATGCAGCTGAGGAATGCTAGCATTCCTCTTGGTTCTCAGTAAGCACAGGGGTCACCTACTGTTTTCATAGTGTCTATTTATGGTTCCCTTTTCCTGTTTCTGCTTCCCTAAGAGGCACTTAGCACTTTGTGACTCTATTGAACTCTTCTTATGATAAGCAGGAGGAAGAAGACTCTGATGAAGACTGTCCACAGGGAAGTCAGCAGCCTTCTTTGCCAAATCCAGCATCTCACTCTCCTACTGGCGATCACCTCGCACACTCTAATGAGACTGAGCCTGTGAGGCTCCTGCTCCCTGACGAAAAGAAGGAAGTCAAACCGCCAGCACTCTCCATGTCCAATTTACACGAGGCCACCATGTGAGTGTGAATCCTAAGTGTGGAGTCGTCTTTGAACTCCTTCTGGTCTGGGGGACCTTATATGTACGTACAATATACAACTCAGAAGAGCTATTACACTCTCTAAAAAATGCCATTCACCAGAAAACACAATCTAGTTATCCTCCTAACAGGGAAATTGAGGAGATAAAGCCGTGAAGAACCAAGGCTCCTAATAAGGTCCTAAATAAAGTGAAGAAAGTGTTAGTCATTCAGTCATATCTGACTCTTTGTGACCCCATGGACTGTAGCCCGCCAGTCTCCTCTGTCCATGAAAATCTCAAGGCAAGAATATTGGAGTGGTCTGCCATTGCTTTCTCCAGGGGATCTTCCTGACCCATGGATTGAACCCAGGTTTCCTGCATTGCAGGCAGATTCTTTATCTAGTCTGAGCCACCTGGGAAGCCCAGTATGGTCCTAAAGATATCATAAGGGCTGAGGTTCAGTTTATACCACTGCACGTCATTTCAGCAGGATCTGGTACCAGTCTAATGCCTGGTAGTGTTTGCCTTTGATGATGCTAGAACAAAAGGAATTGGGATTCTGCGTTGGGTCAAAAGTTGTCAGGACCTTTATTCTATTCTATTTAGATAAAATGGTTTTGCCAGACTGGGACTTAAGTAAATGAGCTGACCTTTTTCTTCTAATGGCTCCTCAGTCAGGAGCCATTTGGATTTTCATTAGTGTCATTATTAGTATTATTCAGTAGCTGGCCTTCCTCTGATCATTTGGCCTTCTTTCGTTTGTATATTATAGGCCAGATTATGAGTTTTTTTTAACATGTGTAATAGTGTGGAGAGTATATATGCCCCAAGAAAGGGATGGAATCCCCACAAATACCTGAGAAAAGACCAAGGACTAGGTTGTAAGCTGAGATTTTAGTGTGCTTGTTATCAGCTGGCACCCCAGTTCCAGCTGAGAGAAGAGTGACCTGTTTGGAAGCAGAACATCAGTCTTCCCTCTTCCTCCATTTTTCCCTCTTTCCCTCCCTGCCTTCTTCTCTCCTTCTTCCCTCCCTTTCTTCCCTTTCTTGGTTGACTGGCTGGCTGGTGGGCTGTTCTAAAGCAACTGTATTTTTTTGGGGGGGAGTAGGGAGGGAGTATGTAGGGCTCTTTGGAAAGCAATGGAATCTTTTTCTTTATAGAAAATGCCCATATATAATTTCAGGGAGTTCACAGAGTTTCTGAAACCAGACACAAGCTCCCCAGGTAGACTCCTGTCTCAGGTAGTTGACTTTTCTCTCTTAGAATGAAGTAAGTAGAATCTGCAACGTAATTACAGCTTTCTTTGGGTCTTTGTTTCATTCCCAAGGATTTTGACATTCCCCCTATAGTCAAGATTCAGAGTAGAATTGTTTTTAAAATCTCTCCCTCTAGCCTGTCTCTAGTCTGTCACCAGATAACTGATGAGTATGCCTACAAAATGCTTCTCCCTCATGCACTCATGGGGCCTTTACTGTCCCCACTTCTTCTAATGGACTCAGTCTGCTTGCCACCATCTGTCCTTTCCACTTTCTGATGGTGTTGTTTTCCTCCTCTGTGATGCCCCCTGCCACGTGCTCCCCCTGGTCAGGCTCTACATGTATCATCCTTATTCAAAAGGCAGTCTTTTAAGTAGAACACTTCTGTATAGCCTTTTCCTAAATATCTAATTCTGCTCATCTCTCTCAGTTATGCCAGAGCTCCATAATGGCAAATATGTATTCTACCCGATACAGGCCTGTACTTCTTGACCATCTCCGAGAAACTAGGGCTGATAAGAAGAGACTCCGGAAAGCCTTGAGAGAATTTGAGGAACAGTTTTTTAAACAAACAGGAAGGTAAGTGTGGGCAGAGATATTTTTTAAGCTAATAAGTCCTAGAGAACTAACAGTAGTAAGCTCAGATTTTTTTTTTTTTAAGTAACAGTGACTTTATACAAGACATAATTTCCAGTGACTTACAACTAGTGTTTGTCTAATGCAGCATTTGGGTAGTATCATTATTGGATATGTTTTACAGGAGACTGTAGCTATTAAGTATGAGACATGAATCTTTAAAAAATAAAAGATGAATTCCCCAAATTCCCTAACTTTGCATAATAAATCCCATTATAACTACTGAATTTATCTAAACCTTAAATAAATCTATTTGATTTTTCAGCCCATGTTAGTTCTTTGTTGTAAGTTGACTGTTATAAGTCCAAGTGACCTACCTTTCTGCTGATGTTAACTATCTAATGAGAAATGTTATGCGGTTGTTAAATTCAGAATATAAAACAATTTATTTTCTTTTTTCCTTTATAGAATTTCTATACAATTTTTACATTTTTTAACCTATCCAAACCCAGGCAATTTAAAGAGTTTTAGCACTTTCTGGTGTGTTATTAGTCCTGCCAAATGGGTCTGCAGTGGTACTTGGCATGCTTCTGACATCCAGGGAAGTTAGTTATGTTCTATGTATAGTATTTTAAATGCACTAGTGAGTGCGAAACCCACTTCAGATATGCTTACTACTTGGTTGAGGTTATCTGCCCTCTTGTGGTAATACACTTAAACTAAATGCAGAAGTGGTGCCATATTACAAGTAAAATCAAATAGTTGAAGGGCTATGAAATACAGATCTTGCTTTTCTAAAACATTTCATTGGGAAGGGTTACCTGTCCATAGGTAAAATAACCATGCAAATAGATTATTAAAAATTTTAATGTTCTATAAATGTTCTTGGTAATAGTCATCATGCAAGAAGCATAATTACCTAGATATGACCTTAACAGTTATGAGCCAGGACCTGTGCTAAATGCTTATGTATGTTTTATATAATGAGAAAAGTGGTTAAGGAAATACTTAGTAAAAATTCTGATCCTGGGTCAATGCGTTCTTGTTTTTTGTGTTTTTTTTTTTTTGCATTCTTGTTTATTAGCTAAAGTGGAGTGTGCCAGACCAGAGATAATTGCATGATGAACTATTAGTGTTTCCCTATAAATTAGACTATTTCTTTATTTAGGTATGTTTACACAAGTTAAGGTGGTATTTAGATACCCAGTTATGATAAGTTTGGCTCAGAATACAGAATGGAGGCAAAGGAATTATATTAACTTAAGAGGAACTCTGGCTAACTCTGTTCTGAGTTCTGAACTAGAGATTTCAGGGAAGACTCTTTATAGATTCACAAAGAATATAGTTATCTACTGGTGTTTAACACTATATATACTGCCCTGAAATTTCTAGTTCAGAGCTCAGAACAGTACACAAATCTATGTGCATTGTTAGCTGTGCTTTTATTGTAAGAAATGTAACTTTATCAGGACTGGGAAAGTGGAAGGGGTGTAGGTTGTCAGCTTTTTACCCATTTTCAGCCATACTTATATTAGAGAGGATCTATGTTTATATTCAGTAGCAACGGTGGTGACTTTATCTGGGTTTTCCAGTCCTTGTATTTCAAAGTCATGGGTGGAAATATTTTAAAAGCAATTGGCCATCTTTATTAACTAAGGAGATCCTGAACTAACTCTTGTCCTTTAGAAAACATATCCTGGCAATGTATTTTTCTGGGAAGGCAGATGATTTTAACTCCAGATGTTACCCAATTATTCTTCAAAGTAAATGTCAAGAACATCTGGCAGTTAGGATAAGTATGAGACATGAATCTTTAAAAAATAAAAGATGAATTCCCCAAATTCCCTAACTTTGCATAATAAATCCCATTATAACTACTGAATTTATCTAAACCTTAAATAAATCTATTTGATTTTTCAGCCCATGTTAGTTCTTTGTTGTAAGTTGACTGTTATAAGTCCAAGTGACCTACCTTTCTGCTGATGTTAACTATCTAATGAGAAATGTTATGCGGTTGTTAAATTCAGAATATAAAACAATTTATTTTCTTTTTTCCTTTATAGAATTTCTATACAATTTTTACATTTTTTAACCTATCCAAACCCAGGCAATTTAAAGAGTTTTAGCACTTTCTGGTGTGTTATTAGTCCTGCCAAATGGGTCTGCAGTGGTACTTGGCATGCTTCTGACATCCAGGGAAGTTAGTTATGTTCTATGTATAGTATTTTAAATGCACTAGTGAGTGCGAAACCCACTTCAGATATGCTTACTACTTGGTTGAGGTTATCTGCCCTCTTGTGGTAATACACTTAAACTAAATGCAGAAGTGGTGCCATATTACAAGTAAAATCAAATAGTTGAAGGGCTATGAAATACAGATCTTGCTTTTCTAAAACATTTCATTGGGAAGGGTTACCTGTCCATAGGTAAAATAACCATGCAAATAGATTATTAAAAATTTTAATGTTCTATAAATGTTCTTGGTAATAGTCATCATGCAAGAAGCATAATTACCTAGATATGACCTTAACAGTTATGAGCCAGGACCTGTGCTAAATGCTTATGTATGTTTTATATAATGAGAAAAGTGGTTAAGGAAATACTTAGTAAAAATTCTGATCCTGGGTCAATGCGTTCTTGTTTTTTGTGTTTTTTTTTTTTTGCATTCTTGTTTATTAGCTAAAGTGGAGTGTGCCAGACCAGAGATAATTGCATGATGAACTATTAGTGTTTCCCTATAAATTAGACTATTTCTTTATTTAGGTATGTTTACACAAGTTAAGGTGGTATTTAGATACCCAGTTATGATAAGTTTGGCTCAGAATACAGAATGGAGGCAAAGGAATTATATTAACTTAAGAGGAACTCTGGCTAACTCTGTTCTGAGTTCTGAACTAGAGATTTCAGGGAAGACTCTTTATAGATTCACAAAGAATATAGTTATCTACTGGTGTTTAACACTATATATACTGCCCTGAAATTTCTAGTTCAGAGCTCAGAACAGTACACAAATCTATGTGCATTGTTAGCTGTGCTTTTATTGTAAGAAATGTAACTTTATCAGGACTGGGAAAGTGGAAGGGGTGTAGGTTGTCAGCTTTTTACCCATTTTCAGCCATACTTATATTAGAGAGGATCTATGTTTATATTCAGTAGCAATGGTGGTGACTTTATCTGGGTTTTCCAGTCCTTGTATTTCAAAGTCATGGGTGGAAATATTTTAAAAGCAATTGGCCATCTTTATTAACTAAGGAGATCCTGAACTAACTCTTGTCCTTTAGAAAACATATCCTGGCAATGTATTTTTCTGGGAAGGCAGATGATTTTAACTCCAGATGTTACCCAATTATTCTTCAAAGTAAATGTCAAGAACATCTGGCAGTTAGGAGGCATATGTATAAAAATGTGCATGATCCTTAGCCTACTCTTAGTAGAATTAGTGTGCAAAGAACCACTACAATTTAGACTCAGATTCCTGAAAGGAACTTCTCTGTGACTCTTCTATACATTAACAGAGATAAGTACTATAATTACAAGAAAGTTTAGAAATAATTCATGTTTGTAAGGTAGCTACTGAGCTTTTTCCTCCTATTACCATAGATTTATGTTATTTCTGTAAACCTAATTTTTGTAATATTTTTAGGTTGATATTTTAAACAACTATCACTGTAAGGGCTGAATATTCTGCACAGGCTTGGATGATGGGAGAAAAGACTAGGTAAAAAATACCTTGAGGGTTCTGGTTTTTATTTCCCGCAGACCTTTCCACTTCCCCAATGCTATATGTCTATGCACTGGACAATGTGTTTGCAGAACACTTATAATATTTAACTTCTCAGAGCACTATTACATTGAAACCTAGTAACACATGGAAGAGGGAATGAATGAAGAGGAAAAAAGACTTGATGCAAAAATCAAGTGGAAGTTGCTGCCCTGTACTTTTCTCACAGAGTTAAAAAAGGATTTTTAATGACTTGGTTCCTTAATGAACTAATGCATTATATATATATATATATATATATATATTTTTTTTTTTTTTTTGCAGAAGTCCACAAAAGGAGGATCGGATACCAATGGCAGATGAGTACCATGAATACAAGCATATAAAAGCCAAACTGAGACTACTAGAGGTCCTCATCAGCAAGCAAGATGTGGCCAAAACTATTTGAGGTTCAGGAAATGTTTGTGATCACTTTCACCTGCAATAAGGCAAGTTTATTTTCCTCTGCCGTTCTTGCTAAGTAGTATGACAACTGAAAACTGAAGCACTTTAGTGGTAGTATTGGCTGCTGTTAAGAATGGATGGCAAGTGTAATTATAAATGCGTAGATGGGATTAAAATTGGAGAAAATACAGTAAGTAACATATAATTGGAAAATAAAATTCAGCCTTCTCCATGCCAAGGAGAAAATGCAGAGTCAGTATAATTACTTCAGAAAACATCTGAAGTAATGTTCAGATGGACAAAACATCCACCTGTTAAAGGGACCACTGGTTAGAGAAAGTCTACTTAATATCCAAAGACTGCTTATACTGACATATGAAAAAGAGCATGATTTTTAAAAATCAATAAGAACAAAAGAAACTCATTTTACATAAAAAGGGATACAGTTAGTAAGAATGTAATTTATTTGAAACTTCTAATAGATTTTTAAGTGATAAAAAATCTACTTCCTTGTCCCTTAAGACTGCTAGGCTTTCAGCACCCTAAAATATACTAGAATGTGTCACTGCTAATTTTTTATTTCTATATAAAAATAGCACATTATCTGTTCCTTAAAATTTTACATTTCTGATTACCAAAGTTCATTCTGATAGCATGTACTTTGTGAATTATCTTTGTTTATAACTGACAGATGTTTATATTAAAATAAAATACTGTATTAAAATTTGAAAATAGGTATTTTGGATAGATGTGTCTGTAGCATATAATCTAATGTGATCACAGTTATAATAGCTAATCTTTTTGTTTACTGTAAGATTATATAAACTATTTTTCCATTGGGAATATATGTTTTTCTTAATGTTCCAAGGTCTATATTTTGTAAAGTCAAAAATTTTCCCCATGAACTATATAGTTGTTCCTCATTCTGCGTAAAATGAAAGGTTTAGAAAATGTTTGCTATAACACCTTGGAAAAGAAGCCGGAATATTTTATTTGCGTCATTAACTTCAGTGTATATTGTTTTGTTATTTTGTATTAAACCACGTTTATTATTTTGCTTTTGTAAAAATAAGTAAAAGGTCCACATTTTCTTTCTCATACCAGCCATGTTTGTAGTTCTCTTTTCTGTAATGTTTAAGCACAATGGTGAACAAATTCACATTTTCATGTAATTTGGATGGGATTAATATTGACTATTTCTGAAGCACATGGTTTCAGAGGCTTATTGTTTTCTTTATATTTACCTATGTTTACCTGATATTTTATAACCTTTATGAATCAGAATAATGTCCTTCACAAATTTAATTAAAGTTATGTACTTGTAACAGGACAGATACACAACTATTTGAGGTTTACAAACTACGTCTTTGATAAGGGAAATGGTTTCGTGACATGTATACAATTGCTATTAAGATGTAACTCTATATATTCTATGAGATTGTAAATATTTTATACAACAATACAAATAAAATATTTTTCTATTATATTTATTATGTTGAAACACAGTAGTTGTTTCCTGTTAGCTAATATAAATAACATAAATAACACTGTCAAACAACAAGTTGGAAGTGCTGACAATCTAGGCTTCGAGATTAACCCATGCTGCAATTACACTTTCATGCGGTTTGGAGTTATCCCAATATTTGTTCAGTAGAGTAAAATGAGAGCGTATTTAAACACCATTTATAAGCCATTATTTTGTATTTTACTAAAGCAGTTTATATAATAGTTTGGTTATGTTTGGCATAAAGGAAAAATAAAAACATTGCAGCATCTAGGCAAGAGAGTGTCAGAAACAACTTAGGATAGTTCATCTCTCAAAGTCATGGGACGGGTAGGGAATAGGAAAACACTACAACAGCTTGGAAATCTGAAAAGTGGTGGTTTGCTTTTGGTGACAGTGGCATATGCATGCTTCAGTGGAAAACATCTGGGTGATGAAAATGGACAACAGAGGATCAGGGCTCCTACTGGAAGAAAGGGGGACTAAGAATAAGAAAAGTGGGCGTTAACGTCCAACACTAATATTACAGGTTTTGCAGCTGGGATCTTTCTTTGCATTTGCAGTAGATAAACTCATGAGCTGATGACCAGTGATTTCTGCCACGGTGCCTAGAGAAAGATCCACGGGGTCAGTGTAAATGACTTCTAAAATGACATCCTGGGCATGGTGGTAAACCAGCATCCCATCTTCTTCTCTGCAGGTCAGAAATTTATTATCCTGGGAATTTAGTTGAGGAAGGCGCTGCTTACAAAATTCATCTCCTGGTGATCCCACAGGAGCAATGACCAGAATCACATAATGATAAGCAGTGTACATACAGTAGAAGTCCCCAAAGTATAAGTTAGTATTGGGGTTAAAAAGTTTTTCTGCTGCAATCTCAAACCTGTATCTTCCATAAGGTGAATCCTGGGGTGGCTTCCCAGTATTGAATTCAGTGCTGCAGCTAAAGAAGATGCCTTCTAACTTTCCACTGATAGGAGAGCCATGGCTGCCACTGTTATCCTTGACAGAGGGCTGCATAGCATTCCCATGATGTTCTCTGCAAGAGAAAATAAATGGTCACTGCTAGGTACAGTGGTGGTAGAGCTACTAATGTGTAGAGTTGAATGGTGTTAGACTACAAGTCAACTGTCTACTATTAACAGCCTGGGTGCTCATCCATCCTACCATCAGATCAAGGAGAATGCGTCTTTTGACATTACTTACAAAAGGCTAAATTTCAGCCATGACCCTAGGGTAAGAATGCTATGCTACAAACCTTGGAGGTCTTTTAATATGATAAATTTCCTGACCAGGAAAACAAAAGTGGAATGAGAAATATTATGGTTGAAATCACATCCACTATAACCCTACTGGGTTTTAGAAGTGGTCTGGGGGAGAGAAAACTGGACTGACAACGCGGGTTAAACATGCTGAATGCTTCCTCAAAGTCTGCCAGAATTTAGGTCTAAAAAGAGTGTTGTCCATGAACATCAGTACAAAAGCATCTTTTATTTTTTTTGCTTCAGTTTTTTAACCCAGGCCCAGTTGACTACTCAGGTCATCTTGCTTGCATTTTGCTTAAAATAGAGCTAGTTGTCTTCCTTTACTACACTCTCAGCTCTTTTTTTTACACTTCTCACCTCCCACTGGGCTGGGCCTCTGTCATCCAGTTCTTCCTGCTCCTTGGTCCCTTCCATTCAGTTATACCAACGAGAGAGACAGTAAGAGACATGGAAAGATAGCCCATGGTCTTAGACTAGAAGAATTAATATTATTAAAATGTCCATACTACCCAAAGCAGTCTACATTTAATTGGATCCCTATCAAATCAATGTGATCCCTATCAAATTACCCATGAAATTTTTCACAGAACTAGAACAAGTAATCCTAAAATTTGTATGAAGCCATAAAAGATTCAGAATTGCTGTGGCAATCCTAAGGAAAAAGAACTAACCTAGAGGCATAACCCTCCCACACTTCAGACAATTCTGCAAAGCTACAGTAAGCAAAATATTATAATAGCACAAAAAACAGACATGTTAGATCTATGGAGCAGAACAGAGTCCAGGAAAAAACCCCATACACCTATACTCAATTAATCTTTGATGGAGGAGGCAAGAGTATATAATGGAGAAAAGAGTTTCTTCGGCCAAGTGGTGTTGGGAGAGCTGGACAGCTACATGTAAAAGAATGAAGTTAGAACACTCCCTCACACCATACACAAAAATAAAGGTGAAATGGCTTAAAAACTTTAAATATAGAGAACACCATAAAACTCCTAGAACATAGGCAAAGCATTCTCTGACATAAATTGTACCAATGCTTTCTTATGTCAGTCTCCCAAGGCAATAGAAATAAAAGCAAAAAATAAACAAACGGGACTTAATCATAATTAAAAGCTTTTGCACAGAAAATAAAAAACAAAATGAAAAAGACAGCCCACAGACTAGGAGAACATAATTTGCAAACAATGTGATTGCCAAGGGGTTAATTTACAAAATAAACAGTGCATATAACTCAATAACAAAAAACAAACAACTCAGTTAAAAAATGGCCTGAATACCTAAACAGACATTTCTCCAAAGAGGACATGGCCAATAGGTACATAAAAAGATGCTCAACATTGCTAGTTATCAGAGAAATGCAAATCAAAACTACAAAGAGTTACCACTCACACTGGTGAGAATGGCCATCATTAAAATGTCTACAAATAATAAATTCTGGAGATGATGTAGAGAAAAGGGAACCCTCCCACACTGTTGGTGTGACTGTAAATTGGTGCAGCCACTGTGGAAAACAGTACGGAGGTTCCTTAAAAATCTAAAACTAGAGTTACCATATGATCCACCAATTCCATTCCTAGGCATATCCCTGGAAAAGATGAAAATTCAAAAAGATACATGCGCCCCAATGTTTACAGTAGCACTGTTCACAACAGTCCAGAGATAGAAGCAACCTAAATGTTCAGTTCGGTTCAGTTCAGTCGCTCAGTCGTGTCTGAAATGTACATTGGCAGATAAATACTACTCAGTCTTAAAAAAGAAAGAATGCCATTTGCAGTAACATCGATGGACCTAGAGATTACCATACTAAGTGAAGAATGTCTGAAAGAGAAAGACAGATACCATATGATATTACTGCTTCCTGTGTGGCCTTCACTGACACTGCAGGGGCTAACCTTATTATCATCCCTTGGCTATGATGAAAAGTCCTGGTTCCCACTGGGCTTCCTCTGACACCAGCCCAGGGGGAAGGCTGACAGGCAACTCATTGCCACTGGTGTGGGTTGTAAACACCGGCTCCCCATTAGCCTTCTCTGATGCCACTGCAACGAGGGGTGGAGGAGGAGGGAAGGGTGGTTCCTAACAGTTGGAAGATACAAGTCTAGGTTCCCTACCTGGCCGAGGCTGGTGGCATGGAAAAAAAGGTTTTTTTCTATGGTGTTTAGCTGGAGTAAAGGCAGTTATTGCCTAAAAACTTTGCCTTCATGGCTGTCCCTTTCCTGTTCATTTGGGTAAACACAGAAGACTTTTGTGGCAGATATTTTTTTGTCTGTGTCCACTGATGTTTGTGAGCTGATGACTAGCACCTAGTCCAGAACGAGAGCTAAACAGAAAATCCATCACTGTGTTCTCCTTTGGGTCCCAAGGTCCCTAACTGGTTGATCTTCTTTCCACCTTTCAGACTCTTTCATGTTTGCTTTATATATATAACACTCCTGGTTTTTAATTGTATGTAGTAGGAGGAACAGGGAGAAATAGGTCTACTCTATCTTTTCCTGAATCAAAACTGCTTACTCTGTTACATTCTCATGAACAAAACCCAATTATTAATATGACAAGTATTCTGCATAAATCTACAAGTGCAATTATATGAAGTAGGAACAGCAGAAAACAGATAAACAGGAACTTAGGCTAGGAGAAATGTCTTACTATCAGTGACTGACATCAACTCTGAGAATATACAATCTACCACCAAACACTAATGGAAATCCTACACATGTCTACCCATATCAGTGAATCCCTGGAGAGAAACCTTTAAGATACAGAAAGGTGTTTTAAGGACAAGTAAGCCACCTAGGGAACTTGAAGGAGGAAGAGCAAAAGTGGTATTTTGATCTGGGGTAACATAAAGCAGTACTCATTTAGGAATTCATTTCTAGAGGTAGAGATCAAAACGAGTTCATTCCACGTGGACTGAGGCAGAATTTATCTAGGGATTTTCCATAATTCATAATGGTTTGGAAAGTGTGTCAGGTAAGTGAAAGGTTCCTTTCTAGTCAGGCACTGTGAATAACAAGATGACATTTTAAATGAATTCTGATAAAGTGTGCCCTGATTAGAATGCATTACATAAAAAGAAAATCAAGATCCACTGATGCTAATGTGGTTTTAGTTAATACAACTATTTAAAAAAGCAGTGTTGAAAAACTGTATTCATGTCTTGGAAAATATATTTTATGTGTACATACTGAAGTATATGTATATAAACTGTATCAAATTTAATGTACATGGATTTTATGACTGTCATGGGAAGTCCAACAAAGGTAAATTTCCCTGTTAGTAAACACACCGTTTATACTAGTATATTGGAATCAATCATACAATATATACAACAATTTTCTTTCCATTTTCCATGCTTTCTGTCTTTCTTTTTTCTTCTTGGAAGAACTTTTGAAAACAGATGGAGCAAATTCTAGAGTATCTAAGGACCTGAAAACAGGCCAAAGGACCGAGAGAAGTCAGAGAAACAGTGACCTCCAGTGGCCACCTAAGATTGACGCTGGCAGCCTTCCAGGGCTAAGCCTAGTACCAAAGGTGTATTTATTCCATTGCTGTATTTATTACGAAAGAAAATAGCAACAGTGGATCTATTTTATTTCTGATTTTATGCTTAACAAATATAAAGAAATACCTTTCTTGTTAAGTCATATGTGGTTACTCCCATACAACAACTGACAAGTATAATAATTAGTATTCTCTCAGTTCATATTCTCTA